TTAAACAAGAAAGGGACTTTATTGGCTCACAAAACTTTAAAGTCCGGAGGTAGGGCAGGCTTTAGGCACAGCTGGATCTAGGGCCTCCAGAAAAATGACATCAGAACTTAGCTCTCTTTCCATTTCTGCTAATCTCCGAGTTTCTGCTCAGAAAGACTCTCTCCACATGGCACAAATTCAAGCTTACATGGTCCTTGGTTCCTGGGATCTCCATAAAGCCTTCTTTCCAGTAGTTCCAGCAGAAGTTCTGTTGAGGGTTCTCCTTAGCCTGGCTTAGGTTACATGCCCATTCTTTAACCAATTTGGCTAGGGAGCTGTGGGACTCAGGAGGCCAGGCCTGGTCAGGTGCTCACCTAAGCCACAGGGAATGGGTTCCCCACAATAAATAAAGGTTCTGTTACCAGAATATGGGGAAAGAGATGCTGAACAAACAAAAACAGATATCTACACATAACCCAACAGAGAAGCAGGTGAAGGATATAAACAAACAATCCACAGTAAAACTATAAATGGCCAATAAACATGAAAATAACCCCAACCTCACAATCAAAGAAATGCAAAATAAGGAAAGGGTTCTTTTCTTTTTTTTAATCCAACAGATAAAAACTATCAAGTGCAGGTAAGGCTGAATGAGGAAATGAGCACTTTCCATACAAATGGTGAAAATACAAGTTATGAAGGCCTTTGAGAAGGGTAAGGTGAGTCTATCAGAAACCCTTTGACCCAACAATCCACGTAGGACTCCAAACTAAAAACATATTCACACACATGCAAGAAGACATCTAAATAAGATGTTTACTTTGGCAATGTAATAGTAAGAGAAAAAAATAATGGAATAGATAAATAATGGTACATCCGTAGTATTTAATCCTATTCAATCATTAAAGAAATTTAAGGACCTCAGTATGCTTTTGAGACCTTCCCCCAACTCCAAAAAAAAGCAAGCTGCAGAATACATATATATGATCCTACTTATGTAAATAAGTGTTGATGATGTGTATGTATATTCATATGGAAATGTATGGAAAGGGGACTAGAAGGATATTTACTAAACTGTAAGAAGTGGAATGTGATTGTATGCACCAGAGAAAAAGACTCTCTTTGCTCTTACATTTGTGCATCATTTAAGTTTTGTACAATGATAAGGTAGTCATTTACACTTTTTTGGCAGCTGGCTGGTACAGGGATGCAAACCCATGACCTCGGTGTTACCAGCACCACACTCTCCCAAGTGAGCTAACCGGCCAGTCCCATTTACACTTTCATAACTAAAAAAAAAAAAAGAGAGAGAATGGGCCGAGCCCGTGGCGCACTCGGGAGAGTGCGGCGCTGGGAGTGCAGCAGCGCTCCCACCGCGGGTTCGGATCCAATATAGGGATGGCCACTACGCTCACAGCGCTCACTGGCTGAGCGCTGGTGCGGCCGGTCTCAAAAAGGACAAAAAAAAATTTTTTTTTAATTAAAAAAAAAGAGAAATGGACAAAAGCAATTCACGCAGGAAATGCAAATGCCTGATAAACATAGTAAAGATGTTCCTCCTCATTAATAATCAAAGACAGATAAATTTTGCCTACCAAATTGACAAAATTTTTAAGGATTCAGGGTTGATGGGAGTGTAGGCAAACAGGCACTCTTACTATTGATGGAGTTGTAAATTGGTACAAACTTTTGGTAGTATTTCTCAAAGAGTCAAGTGTGCATTCTTTCACTCAATAAATCCATTTCTAGCTATTTTCCTACAGAAATTCCCACACAGGTAGCAAATATATGTACAGGGATATTAACTATATCTTCGTCTGTAATGAACCTAACTATCCAATGATATGGGATTGGTAAAATAAATTACAGTATATTCATGCAATGAATTAGTGTGTAGCTATGAAAAAAGTCTACATCAGTGTGGGGGAAGGCAAGTCTCAATGCACTACACGTAAAAATGGGGATATATGTACCTACCTCATATGGTTGCTGAAGATAAAGAGTTTATCCATAGTAACACACTTCAAATAGTGCCTGTACACAGCAACCACAAGTGCCAGCTATTAGCACATTTTTTGCCTAAATATGCATATGCCTGAAACTGGAAGAACAACAAACCAATTATCGCTTCTGAGTAAGACTGGGAAAGGAAATGTCCTTTTTCATTTTACATTTACTATAAAAAATTCAAATGAGCACTTTTAATATCTTTCACATCCGTTAACTGTAAAAGAAAAGCATAAATCAACCAAGTTAACAGCTATCACACATGGCATAGTAAAAAATCTCTCTCCCTGGAGTCTACAGAACTAGATTTGAATTTTTAGCTCTAACTGGCCACATACACGTCTTATGATCTCTGAACCTTGCTTTCCTAGTCTACACATCTGAGATAGATCTGGTGTCTAATACAATGTCTGACACTCAGATTATTCCAATACATGGAACCCTCTCCTCAATTTACACAAATGAGACATACTGCTAAATGATCAAGTACCAACCAGGTGTGAATGTGGAGAGCTTAATCATCAAGAAAACCAGAAGAAAATTTAGTAACAACTAGCAAATGCTCAGTGGTTACTGGGCAGGTATCAGCGGTCTGCATGCCGTTACATGACTGCTCATTTGCTAACCAAACAAATGTGCTCGTTATGGCCCTGCTTAGCAACTGGCACATCACCACTTCATCATAGGCTGGGCACCCCCCAAAACTGCTATTATCTGTGTGGGTATAAATGAATGTTGGGATGAAATCATAAATCACTGGTTATTTTAATTCCATTTGTCTAGTGGGGCCTAACCGGGACAGTGAGTACACATCCTATCACTTCCTCTCCTGTATTTGGCCATCTAGTGTTCTTCTGGTTATCCCTTTTCCCCAGAGCTTTGCGTTAGCCTCAGAATGCTTTCTGAACAATGCACAAGTATCAGACTTGGCAAGACAGACACATATTTGCCAATTCTACTACTTTTTCTATGCTTTCACATTACCAAACATCTTTGGCATTTGTAACAAATCTACCACAGGGAAGCTTCCCTGTATATAGGAAAAGACGTTAAGATCTTTGAAAAGCATGAAATTCAAGCCACTGAGAAGTTGCTCCCTTCTTGCCTACTCTGATACAAGAATTCTGTCATCCCAGCAGTCTTCCAAATATGCCACCTCAAAACCTACTTGGAAAGAAGCCAGTTATAAATAATCAATCAACTCAAGATCATTTTATCTTAGAGCGGAGGAGTTTATAGTTTTATTAGACGTTGACTGTTCCCTCTCAGCCACAGAGAAAAAGACCCAAACAAAAGTCCCTACATTTTCTTGTATAACTTAAAATACATTATTATATCATTACTACGTATTTATACTTCAATAAATCTTAATCTATAAAGCGCATATCTTATAATTATCAGAAAATCTATAAACAAGCTCCATTCTGCCTCATTTCTCCACCAGCTGGCCTTGCATTTATTACTATGCTTTTTAACAGGCTCATGCAAATCTCACCTTCCATTTTTTAATTTGATCCAAGCACCAGATATAACCAAAACCTCTGGAACTATGAAATATTTGTATTCACATGGGTCATTTTCCAAACAATGATGCCCATTATTTAAAAAGCCTTTTCTCATATTCTGTATTTTAACTTCCAGGATTTTCCACAAAACAGTAGAACCACAGTATTTCGGATTCTCAGCCAAGGAGTATATAATCCTACTACTACAATGTATTACTTTAATACATTTTTTTAAATGTGTTAAGATGAAAAATTAAACAAAAAAAATAGTTCAATCAATCCTGATAGTTAATAAGCTTGTTAATAGCCTAGTTATTTTTCAAATAGAACAGTCCATTCAACTTAATATGTAGGTACAACCTCAATGCTACTAGAGATTGATTAGTTTTTTAAAAAAGATTCACAAACCTCCAAACTGCAATAGTTATCTTAGACTCACCTCTGAAGAATGCTGGACAGCTGGCTGCTAGCTCTTTGAACTGAGTCCTCCCTCCAACCCCCAAATACAACACCCTGGTAAGAGAACTATGGCTCCAGGAATTAAAAAAGATTCACAAACCTCCAAACTGCAATAGTTATCTTAGACTCACCTCTGAAGAATGCTGGACAGCTGGCTGCTAGCTCTTTGAGCTGAGTCCTCCCTCCAACCCCCAAATACAACACCCTGGTAAGAGAACTATGGCTCCAGGAATCTCAGAGGTGACCTCCCCCAGGAATGCTCAAACAGGGGGTTATAGGCTAACTCACATGAAACAGCTTTGTACCAAATCCCCTATGATTTATAGTGGAAGAAATACCTATCTACATTTGGTAGGATTACAGTACCTAGCACAGTGCCTTGTCAGTAGAAAATGTTTAATAATAAATGCCTGGCTGCTTTTTTAGCCTGGTGTTCAACCCTTTTGTACCAAAGGAATAAAAATAGCAAACCTGATACCTGTTACCCATCTTTCAGGGAATTTTGTCCCCTCTAACAAAGTGAAGGCAAAATAATGAATTAGACCTTCTTTTTTCTAAAAGCCAAGAAAGACCATTACCCTTATGTTTACATTTGCCCTTCAACCCTGCCATTCACTACAAATTCTTCCCTAGTGTTAAAATTTCTACCTTTATAATGTTACAACTGTTTATTATTTAGACTGTCTACTTTTAATGTTACCTGGGAGATAGTTATTTTTGTTAGTAATATGCCTCCAAATTATAGATAAGATGAGCAGTTTTTGAGTTTTCCTGCAAGAAGATGACTGCAGTTAAATTCTTGACATAATTCAATTCTCAGATCAAAGTATTTGTGTATCTTCCTCAGTCCAGGTGTCCCATTCACTTTTGATGTTTTATCACCATCACTTCTTATCTGAGATCTTAAGGCTTATTTTACTTTGAGGCTTTTGGCCATCCTTTATCTTCTATTTTCTCAAATGCATATTAAAATTAGGTAAAAGGAAACAGAAGGGTAAATTTTTTAAACATGACTTTAAAATGGTTTAAGATAGTTTTCAGACTTCATAATTCCTACGTTGCCTTTTAATGCAGAAGGGAATGTATCCTTACAAAGAACATTTCAGTGATCAACATAGAAATAATGTATTCATCTAAAAAAGGAAACTTTTAAGAAAGGGGCAAAGAATCAGGTAGTTCATTATTTGTAAAAATAATAGAGAATATAAACATCACATGGAAAATTTAGGCATTAACACCTGAATTAAGTTTAAAATTTCAGTTTCTAGGCAGGTATGACACCATATCTTTCAAGATAATAATGTTGAGTGAAGATTTTTTACATTTCCCAGTGGATTTTCTGACAGTCCATAAGGAAAAAACTATTCTGCATCATTTCATGTTTTTAATTTGTCTTCATTTCTGAAGAAAAAGACCTGAGTGCTGATTCTTTTTTTAAAAAAAATTTCTTAAACTTTCACAACATTCAGAAGTTTTTCTGCATTGTGTCTTCTCTGGTGTCTAAAAAGATTTGAGCTTTGACTATAGGATTTCCCACACTGAACACATTCGTAAGGTTTCTCCCCAGTATGGATTCTCTGATGATTAATAAGCCCAGAATTCTGGCTAAAGGCTTTCCCACATTCAAGACATTTGTAAGGTTTTTCTCCAGTATGAACTCTCTGATGTTGCACAAGAATGGAACTTCTGCTGAATGCTTTCCCACACTCAACACATCCGTAAGGTTTCTCCCCACTATGGATTCTTTGATGAAGAATAAGGGCTGAGCCCTGACTGAAGTGTTTTCCACATTCATCACATATATGTTGTTTCTTTCGAGAGGGATTTCTTTTTCTCTCAAACCTGCCCTTGGGGAAACAGGCATCTCCATATTTAAAAATTTGAGGAACACCTATATTGAGAGTGCCAGGAACTTCATGGGATTCTACCGCCGAAGGAATCTCCTGCTTTGGAGCTAGAGCTCCATTTTCAGTCCTAGCATCATCATCTGAAACACACAGAAAATGTAAATATCACTCATTTCCTATTTGGAAGAAAGAAACCTGAAGAAAAAAATACTTTAATCAACTAAATTACTTGCACACATTTATAAATAGCACTCTGAAAACTGGTGTTAAGGTTGCCTACTCTCAAAAGAGAAAAAAATTAGATGACTGATTATGAGATTAATGAGGTAATAGCACGATAACACAATGAACTAAAAGGTTATATCTGGATAAAACATATGCAGGTGGGTTATAAATCGTAGTCAGAAAACAAAGAATGGAAAGATGGTAGGGTTGAAGATGGTTAGGGACATAGTCAAAGTGATGTGGCTAAGTCAGGACGAAACTTTATAAGAAAAATAAAATGAAACTGGCCATTATGAAACCATTATAATGTTCTTTTGCTTTGAGAAAGGGAGAAATTACATCAAAATACAAAGGTGTAAATAAGAAATCTGTCAGAAAGTGGCTATTTCTGAAATGAGCAAGACAAGGCAGGTCATGGCCAAGATGAGACTAAGAGCAAAACACAGTCCTGACAAGAAGGGGCTTATAAGCTGGGGCATCCTGTGTTAACTCAAGACATGACACTTAAAAATTCAGTAAGCCCATAACAAATAAAAGTCCTCCTATAACAGATGCTAGTCCTACTTGGTATTTGTCATGGTACTTAAAAAATTTATTATTTCTGGGGCTGGCCCGGTGGCGCACTGCTACAGTGCGCCGCTTGGGAGCGCAGCGGCGCTCCCGCTGAGGGTTCGGATCCCACATACAGACCAGCCACTCGCTGGCTGAGCGAGGTGCGGGCACAACACCGAGGGTTGCGATCCCGTTGCCGGTCCCAGTCCGGTACGGGCACGACACTGAGGGTTGCGATCCGTTGCCGGTCACGAAAAAAGACAAAAAGGAAAAAAATATATATATTATTTCTAAGTCTCAGTGACATATGTCCAGTGAAAGGAAAGCATGAATTACCAACATAAGGAACCATTACCCAAATGCAGGCAGAGGTAAGAACAAGTCTATTTAAGGCTTTCCTGAAACTTCAAACCTTAAAGAGTAAAGACACAGTTCATATAGGGTGAGCAGCAGTACTCAGGAAAGTGGTAAATAGTAAATGATTAACAAAGGAATAAAGTCAAGCAAGAAGGTTAGGAGAAAGACTGAAAAGTTAGTGAGGCCTGGAGACCTGAAGAAGAGAGAAGTAAGTATGAAGGATAAGAGGGGACAAATGACACAGGAAAAAATGGAAATTCCCAAGTGTGGAAGAGACTAGCCGGTTGAAATGAGTCTATTTAAAAATAGGTAAAAATTATTCTAAAATTCAGGCAGGGGAGAAATTTTCTATCCCAAAATGTCACCTCCAAAGACCAAGGATAGTGGTTCTCAAACTTTATTGATCAGAAGAATGTTCCATGAAACACGTGAAATTGCAGATTCTCAGAAGTTCTGATTCGCTAGCACTATCCCCTGAAATGGGAAGAAAACCTGCTCAGACCTCATTCTGGGGCATACCAGCGCTATCTCCAACTATCTCAAGGAATGATTCCCAAAGCAGACTTAAAATTTCATTTAAATTCATATAAATATCAAAAAGAAATCCAGCAGTTTTAGAAATATACTGGGTTGTTTTAAGACTTCATTTAAATTCATATAAATATCAAAAAGAAATCCAGCAGTTTTAGAAATATACTGGGTTGTATCAAAGTATGCACATAAGTGTATGGTGCTAATTGCCAATGTATTGGAATACAACTGGTGTAAATGAATTACTGTAATTATGAATTTATTTAATTCTTCCTCATTTAAAGCATATTATAGCTAGAGAATCTATTTTTGCACAAACTTAAAAAAAGTGAAGAATTTACCCCAAATATTTCTACAAAAGAAGCTTCTGAGAAAAAAATGACTCTAGGTAGTATGTTGAAGAAAAAACAGAAACAGCCAAAAATTCTAAAAGACTTCAGTGATTTACAACAAACAAAAAGAGATTAGAAGAGGCTTCAAGCAAGCTTACTGTACCAAAGGATTAGGCAGGAGATTGAAAGAAAAAGAATGTCAAAAAGACAACAAATAAGCAATAATGCATGCCAAAGAGAGGGACCTGGTCTAGATGTGGTTGGTGGTTCAGAGTAAGGCAGAAGCTAGCCTGGCATGGGCAGGTCTTCTGGAAAGAAGTTAAAAAATAAGAAAAGGCTTAAGATGTTAATGTCTAGTAATAAAAAATCTGGGGTCAGCAAATCAACTGTTAAAAGAATCAACATCTTATAGTGTCTCCACGTCTAAGGAATCAGGTGATCTCCCCTACCCAGTGAGAATAAGCAGACTGCTGGACAAAAAGCATACTCTTTTGACCCTCTAGCCCACAAGGAGTCTGGTCCTTACCACAGTGCCTTAGAGAATGGAGCTCCCAGGATGCCCACTTGAGCTGGTTCTCCACAGTGTCAAGCTCAGAACTTGGTAATCCCTGAGTTTCTTCTTGAGATACTATCTCCTCTACTAGTACTTCCCGTTTTCGTCGACGGAGAGAAACCTGGAAACAATAAGATTTGGTTCAGTTGAGAAGAAATTTTGATGAGAAACAACTAAACACACATAAGAGAAACCAAATAAAACACACTACAGAGGCCTAGATGGCAAAGAAGCACAGATAATGGGAAGCAGTAGGGGAATAGGGGAGAAGGCATAAAAATAATTCTAATTTAGTTGAGTGGAATTAATCCAACAGCTTTGCCCACTGCTATGCCAGTGCTTCTGACCCAGGAAAATGATACAAGTAGGCTCACCGGCTGTCCAGGGTCATCAAGTTCACTTTCCAAATCTTCCAGCACTGTCACTGCCTCCTCTCCATTCTCTGGATGATGCTCTCGAACCCAAGTCTGTAGCTCCTTGGGTAAGATGGCAACAAACTGCTCCAGCACTACTAGCTCCAAGATTTGTTCCTTTGTGTGTCTCTCTGGCCTGAGCCACAGACGGCAAAGTTCTCGGAGCTGGCTCACAGCTTCACGGGGCCCAGGTGAATCCTGGTATCCAAACTGCCTGAATCGCTGTCGGAAAACCTCTGGATCAGGGAGATGATTCCAGGGGATACTTGATCCCTCTTCGCCATCAGGATCTTCTTCCAATTTCACTCTCAGAATTTTTTCCTCTTCATCTGGATTTGGGATGATAAGTATTGAATCTTCTTCCACTGACTGAGCAGACATCCTGATTTACAATACTTCAAGAAAAGACAATCAAGGCAGGATATAAGCCTCAGAGAAATACCCCGTTTTCTTCACAGGCACTCCTGAGGCACAAGAAATAAAAAATTCATAAATGACCAAATATTTAAAGAATTTGGACTTATGCTCAGAAAGAAAGTAAAAGAAATTTTTTACTGGATTAAAAATTCCAATCAATAACCTACACCAAGAGTTGGCAAACTACAGCTTGTGGCCAAACAGCCAGCTGCCTATTTTTGTGCAATGTATGTACAAAGAATAGTTCACATTTTTAAATAGTTTAAAAGAAATCAAAAGAATATTTTATGACATATGAAAATGATATGAAAAATTAAAATGTGTGTCCATAATTAATTCACACTACAATGGCAGAGTTGAGTAATTTCAACAGAGACTATACAGCCTGAAAAACATATTTACGTATTTATTATCTGGCCCTTTACAGAAAAAGTTTGCCAATCTATGACCTACAAAGTCAACAAACCCTATTTCAATAATCAAAAGAATCCAAGTAAGAAACTGCTCACCTCATGTGCTTGACTCTGAAATTGGCAATTCAGGACTGATGTTCCCTGACACACTTAGGCCAACTCAAAAGCTTTCATATCTGCTTAAAGACTTTCTTCTTTACAAAATGTTTTTTAAACAGTTAAAAAATATTTTTAAGATGTTTAAGAACTCCTTGGGCTTAAAGCATAAGTGAAAAAATGTTCACTTGTTCAGTAACAGATCACATAATATTTTTAAAAATATATATAGAAAAATCAAATATTGAAGAAAATACTATTTTACATAATAATATGCAAATTCAGTCATCCTCAAACCATAAACACATTTAAATTTAAGATGACAGGAACTAATCATAGCAAATTCTACTTTAAAAAGGAACTCTGATAACCACCTTAACTTCTTGCAGTGGCCCAGTATCTTGTTCCTACGCTGGATGACTCAGTTTTCCCAGCTTCTACCTTCAGGGAAACTTTGTGCTATTTCTGATCCTTTCCTTAGTATTTGCACAGTCATGCCCGTGCCATTGTTTACAAGACATTAATGAGCCACGCAGCTACTCTAAGGATTTATTCAAGGCACAGAATCTGAAAAACAATAACTTAAAACTTACTGTAATTCAATCAAGATAAACTAGGAATCAGAAAAAACATTATCGAATAGTAATGGTACAGGATTAATTAAACCCTCTGGGATGCGGTGGCCTTATAAATAGGGTCTAGTCAGTAGATTCAATAGTTCCTATTCCAGGACATAAACTTAACAACGGCAGAAGCATAAAAAAAATTCTCTTCGTTTTATGTTATACGGCACACACTGCTAGTGGGACATGGAGGGGAGTGCCGGGAGGGCAGGCCACGGTCCCGTGTTTGGGCGGGATGCCTCGTCCCAGGTGATCTACCCACCTCACTCCCGCAGGGAGCCACTGTGTACCCCGACCACGCCCCAGCGTCCTCCGGCCCCTTTCCGGCACTCACGGCGGCGGACTTCAGATGACCAAAGGCCACCCTGCAACAACAGCATCTGAGCCACAGCACTTCCGCCCGTGGCCAGCAGGACTACAAGTCCCGGCAGCCCCTGCGCAAGACCCTCCCACTTCGTACCTCCGCCGAAACGAGTCCCAGAATCCTCCGCGAGAACCCGGGCCTCTAAATAGAACAAAACCGGCCGGTGGGGGGAGGGGAAAGGTGAGGGTCGCCGACGACGGAGGAGATGGACGACTCTTCGCAGATGCCGAAGACCCAAGCGGGCCTCCCGCCTACCCCTCCTCACCCCCCCCCCCAACTGCTGAGCGTAGAGGCCGTGGCCTGTCCCCCGCGCCTTCCAGGAGCCAAGGAAGGTCCCCACCAGATTTCCTCGCCGGCTCCTGCTAAGAGGTCCGCAGACTCTAGCCCAGCGTCCCCCTTCCCCCATACATTTCCCCCTCGTCCGGCGCAAACCTCCGGCTCAGGAACGGCAGCCGCTTCGCTGTCCACCGCAGACGCAGAAACGCCGCTCACAAGCCGTTTCCCAGAAGTCCCTGGCGCGGACTGCTTCCGGTCTGCGGGACCGAGGGGGCGGGGAAAGGCAAAGCCCCGCGTTGCCATGGAGAAGCGCTCCTGGCGGGGGAGGGGCGGCCAGACGACAATGACCGCATTGAGGCTGCGCCTCTCCTGCAATAACCCAGCGTTCTCTGTTCAGCTTAAAAGAACAGGAAAAGAGAGAACTCTGCTGTTAAGATAGTCTTTCCTGTTTCACAAGCCCTTTCACGTGCATTATCTCCTGTGATCTTCCCAGTAATCCTCTAAAAGAAATAATAAAAGCGAATGTTTATGAAATCTTACTACGTTGTGCCAGGCACTGTCGCCGTGCTTTATGTGTATTTTCATTTATTTTTCACACAAATCCTATGATGTAGGAACTTTTATTATCCCCACTTCACAGCTGAGACAACTAAGGCACAAGTAAATAACTTGCGAAGGGCTCATAACTTGTAAGTGAAAAGTAAGATTTGAAACCAAGGCCTGCCTCAAATGTTTGGCTGTCACCAGTTATGCTTCGGAGCTTTATTATAACCAATTCATCTGGCAGGGAAACTAGATGAGACAGGTTAAGAGCTTTGGCAATGATATCACAATGAATTTGCAGAATGCATGGTCATCTTCTAACTTCAAGTTGGGCATTTGTACCATAGAACTGCCGATGATATCATTTAAAAATGTGAATCAGACAACTTCATTCCCCTATTTAAAGGCCTCCAATGGAGCTCCACTACCTTATGACAAATTTTCACATCGGTCTGCAAGACCTCCAGTGATCTGTTGCCTGCATCCCCCCATCTGACCTCAGCCTCCTGACCCTTCTTCATAGCACTATTAGAAGTGATCTCATTTATTTACCTGTTTTTTTGTTTTTTGTCTGTAAGTCCCATAAAAGAGGGGACCTTGTCTGTCTTGTTCACAGTATCCCCACCAGGATCCTGAATCCCCCCATCTGACCTCAGCCTCCTGACCCTTCTTCATAGCACTATTAGAAGTGATCTCATTTATTTACCTGTTTTTTTGTTTTTTGTCTATAAGTCCCATAAAAGAGGGGACCTTGTCTGTCTTGTTCACAGTATCCCCACCAGGATCCTGACTGCCTGGTACATAGAGAACTCAATATTTGTTGAATCAATAAATGGATTGTGGGCTCTTCACAGTACTGCCTCTGAAGGTCACATGTCAGGCATCTGAAACCACACACAAGAGCATTGTTGTTTAAAGTATAGTCAGAAGTGTAGATCCAGCCTTCCAGAAGCATTTCAAGATGCTCAGGTTTCAGCTTTTTGCCTCGTTCAGGGAAGTGCCCTCTCCAGTCACTCTTGGCCTCTGCTGGATGTGTGAATGATAAGGCAAGTGAATGAGCAGCTGACGGTATAGCACTACTTTTCACTCTGACCAGAGCTCGTCTTCACATAACTCCTGCTAACTCTTCTTTCTTCTTTGTAGGAGGCTTCAGAAATCCAGCCGTTTCACTCTCCTGCTTGGCTAGTGCTGCTTGGCTGCTCTTCCCAACCTTTCCCTCCTTTGGGACTCCTAAAGGCTAGGTTGAGGGTTTTTTTGTTTCTTTTTTACTTTAAAAGTTTTTATATCTAATTAATGTTGGAAAACAAAAATGATAAAGATATTTGGGGAAATTAAAAATGTTGCAAAATTTTACAAAACCCTTTGCTTGTGATTAACTGTTCGATTATTCCTTATTCTTTCTTTGAAACATCATCCTTCTAAGCCTCACTATGTGGAATTTTTCTGAATGGTGGCCCTTGTTGCTGTCTGAAAGGTTTCATCAAAATAGAACATCATGTTCCTCTGAGCAACCAGACTGGAGGTAGCAGTTCCATACCAGTGCCTGACAACCTTGCACATATCCACAAGGCTTGAACCGCAGCTCATCTGAGTCTTGGCAGAACATCTTGCGATCCTCTGGGAACATAAGAGCATGGCAGGCTTGTGAGCAGCCACTACAAAGCCATTTCCCACTCAGCTCCCTGTCCTCCAAGGAGGCTATCATGTGGCAGTTTCACATTGCTTCCTGGGTTCTCATGAGGCTTTTTGACTCACCCTCTGCAATAGTAATTTTAGGTGTCCACTTGACGGGATGAAGGAATACCTAGAGAGTTGGTAAAGCATTAATTGGGGGTGTGTCTGTGAGGCTGTTTCCAGAGGAGATTAGCATGTGAGTCTGAGTGGACTAGATGCGGAAGATCTGCCCTCAATTTGGGCAGGCACCATCCAATCAGCTGGGGGCTCAGAGACAACAAAAACAGAAAAGACAAATGTGTTGATCTCTCTGCTGGAGCAATAACTTGGACAATAATTCCAGGCTCCCAGGCTTTTGACTCCAGGGCTTACACCAGCTGCCCTCCACCTCCTATCAACACACACACACCAGATTTTCAGGTCTTTGACCTCAGACTGAAAGTTACACTACTGGCTTCCCTGGTTCTGAGGCCTTCAGACGTGGACTGAGCCACACTACCAGTATCCCAGAGTCTCCAGCTAGCACATGATCTGTAGTGGATCTTCTCAGCCTCCATACTCACAGGAGCCAATTCTCCTGATTAATCCCCTCTCATATAAAGGGGTATTTTAAAAAGTTCAGAGAAAGAAATACAAATCTAATTCTATTTTCCACAAACTTTTAAAAGTACCCTCATATCTCTATGTATATCCTATTGGTTCTGTCTCTCTGGAGAACCTAATACACCTCATTAGAGTATAGTTGCAGGCTAGAAAAAGGCTTAGCTGCAGCATGGCATTAGCCCCTCAGCCACAAGGTGTTCCACAACTCATGTTGTAGTTATCTGACTCCTTTTGTTTTGGTGTCATCATTTTGGTATGTGGTACAAAAGCTCATGAGGAGATGGCACCTTTGGCTACTCTTGTTTTCACTTTCTGTATAAGTCATAATCTGTCTAAATCCAAAAAGCACTCATTTCTTTATGAGGTATATCTTCAATTTTGCCTTGTCTTGATAGGAAGCATCTCATTTGTTAATTAATAGTAAAACAGATACTAACTGCATGCCAGAGAGCTAGAGATGAGTAAAATGAAGTCATGATTCCTTTGTTAAGGGACGCCCCAACCCCTACTGACCTTAACATATGCATTCTGCTTCTGTACAAGTCG